TATCTAGTCCCATTTATCTCGACCCTACAGTAATTGAGTGACAACTTAAGTGGGCTAATATATGTTTATATTGAGATACACAGGTGATTAATCTACAGGTACATTAGTGTGAGCAACACTTGAAGCCATGGTGGAGAGGTGACTTGAAGCTGTTGCAATGCTCATCTAGTGTTGATAGAGGAGCTCATCTCATATGAGCCATGACATGATAAAAAAAAATCTTCTATGATTTTTTAAGATTAAATAAGATTTTGGGATTTTAATTGGTTTTGCTTCGGTACCACAGGGATAAATCTTTGTGTCTCTATCTTTGTGATTCCCCATTCTACACTTGTGCTTTGTTATTGTTCACTCGTGTGCTTATCTTGTGTAGTTGTTTTTTTGCTAGTGTTCCTGTTTAGCTTGTTTATCTTGCTAGTGACATAGCCATAGTTGCTTTACTCTTGATTACTAGACTATGTAGTTTTTTCACACTAGGCTTGCCATGCTACCTAGAGGTAGAGTGTATTAGGGCCTCCTTGTTTTTAGTCGGTTTTACCTAGTGTTATTGTTTGTAGAAATTTTAGGTTAGGCTATTCACCATCACCCCCTCTAGCTACATAGAGATCCTTACACTAGTTGAGGTTTTGTTTCTTGATACATGCTCTATCTTATGATATCTAGCTTGAAATCATTCGAATCTTGATGGACTCATTATGGTGTTTATATTATTTGCTAGTAGAAGTTCTTGTTATCTATTATAACTAGATAATACCCCGCGCGTTGCTACGGGATATTGTTGTGTAATATAGGAGAAAACTATCGTACATAGGAAGCATCATATGAAATCAATAGGCTTGGGCAAGCAAAAGAAAATTTTAATTATGGTATAGAATGGGCAGCCCAAGCATCTTGGCTACAATTAAAATTTGAAACTAAGATTGATGAAATGATTTACATCATGCAAAGCCAGCATGTATTTTGTAGGACATTCAAGTGAAAAAAAATAAAGAACCAATCTTAATCCATGCGACATGGAAAAAATAAATAAAAATCCTTTCAGGAGAATGGGGAACATGCACTTCATTGTTGGGCTTGGCAACAAATTCTAGTCTCTCCTGACCGGAAAAATGAGACCTGAAGCATCAGTATAGTCACCGGCTCACCGCTGATAATAAGAGAAGATCCACCCCATCCTGAGGAAGCACCATGGCATCACAATTCATGGTGGAGAACAAAGCCATAAATAGATAGATAAAAGAAGGCCAAACATGCATGATCCTTTGTATGCCCCCACACGGCGCAGCGGACGATCAAATAAAATTGAGATAGGGTAAGTGAATATAATTAGATAATAAAACAAATAGTACAGAAAGGTGTGATGAATATACATTAAGTTCATGATGGGTGCTCGTTGAACAAAAAGTTCAAACAATTAGCAATTAAGCAATAAAAAATTGAAAATAACTCGCTTACCTGATCATGCTCGCCGCTCAGCTGCTGTACGATGACGGTGTGCTCCATGCATCGGCTTCTCTTTGCTGGTATGCACGACGGGCGGCAGGGGTGGCATGTGGGTCATGCATTCATGCCTTCGTGACTCCAGGTCTCGGACGTGGAGCTTTTTCAGCGTCAGACCACCAGGGTCATCGATATATAATGCTTCAGAGGAGCACGAGCAGCACCATGATCTATCATTCGATCGTACGCCCACAAGCACACACTGCATCGAATTAATGCTTGCTTGGTGGACATTAATTTGTATGCTTCAGAGAGCTGCTTGAAACAGAATGACAATTCAAATCCCTCTACTTTCAATAGTGGCCACGTAGCGAAGGCAAGGAGGTATGAAGACATGCGCTAGATTTTTGATGAAGTGACAGCACGAGAAGCGAGAGAAATACTGTAGTGGGGATATCCTATTTAGTTATAAAAGATCACTACGGGAATTAGTGGCTTTGCCGAAAGCCCAATTTGCACTCGGCAAAGGCTTTGCCGAGTGCTGCACTCGGTAATGAATACTCGGCAAATAACCCGTCGGCAAAGGCGTCTTTGTCGAGTGTTTTTTATCGGGCACTCGGCAAAGTTGAAACCGAAAAAAACCCGAAAAAAATGGGAATTTTTAACCAAAAAAATAGATTTTTTTTTTATCGATGGAGGCCCCCACCGGCCAGCGCCCACCCATCTCCGACACGCGTGAATTTCATGGCTACGCGGCCGACGCGATTCGAACCCGAGACCTCCCGCTGTGCACGTACCTATTCTACCACTACACCACACTTTCACTTGTGTCTGGATTCCGTTTTAGTTCCCAATATATTATACTAAATCGAGTGTAAATTGCATGTTTGAGGCCCTAAACGAATTCAAATAGAAAAGTTGTAAACTATAAAGTTTCATAACTTTTCGAGATCTACACTTTTAGTTTAGGAAGTTTTTCCATCCAAGGTCGTTTACAAAATTTGAATTTTAAAATTTTGAAATTCAAACGCAGTTTTGCATGACAAGATGTTTTCAAATCAAAAAGTTGTCAACTACAATGTTTCATAACTTTTCGAGATCTACAGAGTTTATTTTGGTTGTTTTTTCATCCGAGGTCGTTTGAAAAGTTCGAATTTTAAATTTTTGAAATTCAAACATAATTTTGCATGACAAGATGATTTCAAATCAAAAAGTTACCGATTACAAAGTTTCATACCTTTTCGAGATCTACAAAGTTTATTTTGGTTGTTTGGTCATCTATTCATCCGACATGGTCGTTCTAACATTGTTCACAAATCTTATATATCTCTCTTGTAGTTTTATAAACTACAAGAGAGATATGTTAGATTTGTGAACAAATTTATTTTCACTTTGTCGTATAAAGAAAATACCAAAACAAACATTGTACATCTTGATGAGTTCTACAACTTTATAGTTGAAAACTTTTTTATTTGAACTAATTTACTGTTTCAAAATGTGCTTTGAAATTTTCTTTGCCGAGTGTAAAAAAAACACTCGGCAAAGAAGCTCTTTGCCGAGTGTCAAAAAAAACACTCGGCAAAGAAGCTCTTTGCCGAGTGTCAAAAAAAAAACACTCGGCAAAGAAGTTTTTTTTTGCCAAGTGTAAATTGAATGTTTGAGGCCCTAAACGAATTCAAATAAAAAAGTTGTAAACTACAAAGTTTCATAACTTTTCGAGATCTACACTTTTAGTTTAGTAAGTTTTCCCATCCGAGGTCGTTTACAAAATTTGAATTTTAAAATTTTGAAATTCAAACGCAGTTTTGCATGACAAGATGATTTCAAATCAAAAAGTTGTCAATTACAAAGTTTCATAACTTTTCGAGATCTACAAAGTTTATTTTGGTTGTTTGGTCATCTGTTCATCCGACATGGTCGTTCTAACATTGTTCACAAATCTTATATATCTCTATTGTAGTTTCATAAACTACAAGAGAGATATGTTAGATTTGTGAATAAATTTACTTTCACTTTGTCATATGAAGAAAAGACCAAAACAAACATTGTGCATTTTGATGAGTTATACAACTTTGTAGTTGAAAACTTTTTAATTTAAATTAATTTACTGCTTCAAAATATGCTTTGAAATTTCTTTGCCGAGTGTCAAAAAAATAACACTCGGCAAAGAAGCTCTTTGCCGAGTGTAAAAAAAAAACACTCGGCAAATAGCCTCTTTGCCGAGTGTTAAAAAAAACACTCGGCAAAGAGCCTCTTTGCCGAGTGTCAAAAAAAACACTCGGCAAAGGCGACTTTGCTGAGTGCCCGAAAAACAACACTCGGCAAACCACCTGGCACTCGGCAAAGAGCCGGTCTCCAGTAGTGGATAGAAGATAGAAGATTAGTTGATGTTGATTGTCCAGAATATATAGAAGCACATGTGAAGCGTTGTTAGGATTATAGTGGGCACTAGTCCCCTGGATAAATTTTTAAAGTGCCTGTGTTAGCTTGTGTGGCTTCAAACACGCTGTCGCACATCTGCATGCATGCAACCTGCATTTAGTATATTTAATTAAGTTTTACAAACTAATGATTTAATTAAGTTTCAATAAAAATGAAATAAGGGGAATAGAGAGGCAAGAAAATATAGATGGTAGCACACGGAAACATGATGTTTATATAGATAGAATTAAATGATACACACTTGATTGAGTAACACTTATGTTCACACTGAATAATATTAAGTATGATGGGATTATATATATGACACTTGTGTTGTCATGAACGTCACTAGGTTGTCAACGCAGGCTGATTATATAAGAACAAAAAGTAGTCCATATAAGATTTAATTAATTCTAGTTTAGGCACCATAAGATAGAGAATGATTTTAGAAAAAAAAACAAGAAACTAATTTTATATATTTTTGGACTAAAGCAAATTTTGTATGAAAATTATTTAATATTACACTGGATTCTAGAATTTTAATTATATAGTTTATTTCAAAAATATTTGGACATTTTTCGAAAAATATATCTAGTCCTATTTATCTCCAAAATTATCAACATAGTCTGCTTTACGTGCTCTCTTGATAGATGTGGCGCCGTGTCAGCAAAAATCGCTATTAAAACCATTATTCATGGTGCAAACGACAGTTTTAAAGTTGAGTGATAGATTTCCTTTTTTCTTTTAGCGCGCACAAGTTGAGTGATAGACGAGGGAGGAAAATCAGATGATCTGGAAAGTTAGTGGGCCAAGAGGACCTTTTCCAATCAAAGGAAAGCCCAGTTTAGTATTGATCTCCAATAGTAAAGAGCCGCAAGGTTATTACGTTAATTTCCTTTGCCGCGGAAAGGGAGTTCAACACGAACACGTACGCCACCACCGACATGGATGGGATATCGTATATATACACGACACGAACACGTCCGGCTGTCCTGTCCGTCTCTGGTTTCCTCTATTTGTATACTTCCTTCCTATAAAATATCCAAGGATCAACGCGGAGAACATCCGTCAATTTCTATCTACGACGACACGATCGATCTCGGCTCTTCCCGGCCCCAAGAAGCAGAAGACGCTAGAGGATGTCGTCCTGTTTGCCTTTGCTCGTCTTCCAGCATCGCAACCACGTCAATAATGGCGACGACGACCAGATGCTCATGTTCAGCATATCTCAGATGACCCTGCGCACCAACATGGAGCCTGACCTCGTAGCAAACAAGAACATGTGCTGGACCACCCCGCAGGGCTGGATGCTGGTAGTTTCCCCCTCCCCATCCTCAGCAACCACAGCGTGGCTATGGAACCCTCGTACCAAGGAAAAGATTGCTCTGCCGGACTTCGAGGAGGAGCATGACATCCCACCGGGCTCCAAGTGCTTGCTCACACACAGAGACGCAACCCATCCGGAATGCCTCGTCGTGCTCTTCGAGTACAAGGAACCCAACATGTGGTGCTGCAAGGTCGGCGGCGGCGATGGCGATGGCGGCGTCCACGGTGGTGGCTGGTGCTGCTACACGTACGACATCGGTGACTACGAGGTGCCCGGCGGTGAGCCTCCTACTAAAGACCTCATCTCCAGCGTCGCCGCGGTTCAAGGGGAGATCTTCTTCATCAGCTCAGCAGAAGACATGTGCGCCATCAACTTCTCCTCCTCGACTGATCACCAACCCGAGTTCCAATACTTCGATGCCTGCATGGTCGATTTCCCGGAGGGGATGAACTCGGGTTGCTCGTGGCTGGTGGAGCACGACGACGAGCTCTACCTCGCGTGCGTCATCTTTGTTGGCTTTGATGCGGATAACATTGGTGCCATCCATGTGTACAAGATGGACTTCTCGACGGAAGCATGGTGCAGCGTGCGTGACATCGGAGACGCCGTGTTCCTCCTAGAGGGCGGCGGCAACATGGGTGCCTCCTGCCAAGCGAGCCCCCTAGGGCTTAAAGGGAATCAGATTTACTTCATGAAGAATTTCAACGCGGACGATGCGGATTTGTGCGTCTTTGACATAGAATCAGAGCAACAAGAGATCACTCGAGTCCACCATCATGAGCACCTGAATCTATGCCGCAAACCTTTTTGGATCCTTCCACCTAGCTAGCTAGACACATACCTCTCGTTTGAACAGTAGTGTTCTTTGATTGCTTAATAAGTAGCAGTGTTTGTTTAATTTCATTGTTCTTGTGCGGTTTATTCAAAAAGAACAATACAAATCAGTCTGTGATGAAATATTATTATTCGTGCCATACTCACACATGTGGATTACAGTCATTGAGGTAGCTACATTGTATTTAAATTGAACCTTCTTGATCTCATAAAGTTCAAGCACAGGCCCAAAGGCTGAAACTTTTGTTGTAAAGACTCGATCGGAACTTTTGGGAAGCGGAAACCAACACGGTGTCCTGCACCACACCGTTCCTATTATGATCCTGTCATCATGCACGGCCGCTGATCAAACTCTTATGATCGATCTTTTTTTTTCTTTCTCGAATACACAAAAGCTTTACGTATCATTTCATTGTATTAAGTAGAAGAGTTTAGACAACTCTTATGATTGATCTTAATTATCGTCCTTCGTATAATTCCCCCTGTATATATATAGCTGAGGGCCGGTACCAGGCAATAAGCCTCCAATTCCAATCAGATCAATTGTCGCCCTAGCTGCAACCTAATTGGCGTACCGTCGTTCAGGAAGAAGAACCATGGTGGAACACGCAGACGACGCTAGTGGATTTGGATCGTCGTCCATGTCCTCGTCTTTGCCCGTGCTCGTCTTCCACCATCACCCTAACAACGGCCAAGAGGAGGACAACGAAGACGAGATGCTAATGTTCAGCATATTCAAACAAAGCCTGGACACGAACATGAAGCGTGGACTTTTTCTAGCTGCAGCAGGCAGCAGCAGCAGCATGTGCTGGGCCACGCCACAAGGCTGGATGCTCCTCGTCGCCTAGGGCCATGATGACACCGACGACGACGACACGGCGGTGTCTTCGGCTTGTCTATGGAACCCTCTCACCGGCGACAAGCTTCCCTTACCAGATATCACAGATCGAGGAGGAGCACAGGTTCCCACAGACCTGCAGGTCCTGCCAACACGTCCTGGCTGCGTCGTCGTGCTCTTCCATCCTTCCACGCCTGACTTGTGGTACTGCCAGGTCATCATCGACAACGACCACGACGACAAGACCAGTACTCGTTGGAGCTGGATGCATTACTCATATGACATCGTTAGCGGAGGCATATCGCCCTCCAACGAAGATGGTGATTTCCACGATTGCTGCGTTCCAAGGGAGGTTCTATTTCATCAACTCAACCAGAGACATGTGCGCCATCGACTTCACAACAAGCAGCAGCAAAGAGCACCCTGCGTTCCACTATTTCGATGCACGCAAGGTTGATTTCCCCAAAGGGATGAACTTCGAGGCGACCTGGCTGCTCGACTGTGACGACCAGCTCTTCCTTGTCGACGTCTCCTGCGTCGGCGTCGATCCTCACAACATTGGCGCCATCCGCGTGTACAAGATAGGACTTCTCGTCGTCGTCGACACCCAGCAAGCCTCCTCCTCGTTGGCGCAGGGTCCGTGACATTGTAGATACCGTGTTTCTCCTGGATGACACGGGGTTGGCAACGTCTTGCCGCCCGGCGAGCCTTCACGGACTGAAAAGGAATTCATGAAGAATTTCGTGGAAGATGATGCTGATCTTTGCGTTTTTGACTTGGAGTCGGAGTGCCAAGAGATTACCCGTGTTCACAATATATCATGACGGCTTGCTTCTCCACCGCAAACCGTTCTGGATTGTGCCACCAAAACTAGGAGGTGTCATAGTCATATTTTGCAGCAAGTGCGAGATACATTATGCGTGCTTGAAGCAAGCAAATTTTGCATCTACTAGTAGCTATATAGTTTATATATAAAATTCGTCCCGTCTGGTCTTCCTCTGTCCAGCCTTTCTACCCTTTGATTGACGATGTTTTCTATACTATATATGTGATTTGCGTTTTGCTTGTGTTATGTGCTATATATCTATATCAATCTATACCTAATAATAATGGGAATTGCTATTAAACAGGCGCCTGATTTCTTCCAAAAGAACAGGCGATGTGTGCTGGCCAACGGTCATAGGCTTTCTTCTTTCTTCCGTCAGCTCAGCAGCAAAGCAGTAGGCCAATGCCCTGAACTCGTCGCCTGAGAGCTCAGGCAACTGAAATCTAGGAAATATGAATAATAATCTATACTTCTATACTTCTTCTTTTTCTAATAATAAAGAGGCAAAATTTTAACCTATTTTTTTGTCCATCCATTTTTTGGTCGATCTAACTACCGAATAATGGTGAGTTTCTTCCGTCCATATATATATATATATATATATATATATATATATATATATATATATATATATATATATATATATATATTCTAAAACGTATTGGGTAAGAGCTAAAAAATTTTTGTGCAACGGAATTTTGATCAAGTCCAATCCTTCTACCCGTCTATACCTAATATTAACAAGGCAAAAAATTGAATCTGTCTACTACACAACCATGTGTTTTATGCAGTTTTAACATATAAATTTTTTTGCACCATAGGATTAAGATGCAATAGTCTCCACCCTTCTTCTACCTTCAGCCTCCAGCCTCCAATGACGTCACATAATCTGCATTACACGACAAATTATGAAAACCTTGAACATAATTAAGTATTTTATTACACAATATAGATGACACACACGATTGATTAATTAACTAAGCCTGGCTACAACATAAGCAATCCCAACTATCACTAAACAAACTAAAACTACAATGCACTTCAGTAACATAATTATTTCGTGACCGTACGCAACTAAAACAGATAAATCATTCGTCTGTTGAATATCAATAAGCTTCTCCTCTTTGGCTCTTCGCCTCATTATCGCAGCCTGCCTCAAGCGCAATTCCGAATTACTGCACGTATGTAGTATAATCTTCCTCCCCAGTACCAACCATCGCATCCATTGTCCTCCCACTGAAATTAAAGCCAAAAAATATTTAGTCAAAAATATTCAAGAAAAGCAGGTCAATTAGCCATAATAATCAAATGCGTAAGAAACTCACATCGCGATCCGGGCACTTGTAGAAAATACGACCCTTGTTGGGTCCCTGTCTCTTGACTCGGTACTCCATCACAATCTTTTGCTTACACTTGCCGCAGATAATGAGAGGAGTTCTGGCCTCAGTCGTTTCGCAACCGAACGAGAGGCCGAGGATCCGGTACCAGTTGTCATCTACTTTCTATACTTATTTTTGCAAACTAGTGTAAATTTCACATTTTCTAAAATAATATGTTTAAACAAAACTAAAATTATTTATTTATCTAACTAAATCATGAAATATGTACTATGTATAATAGTAAAATACCAAACTATCAAGTGATTTTACTATTGTAAATCATCATGTGATTTTGAGCTAAAAATGACATAGAAATCATAATCAAATCCACCATATCAAGTTACTTTCTATACTTATTTTTGCAAACTATTGTAAATTTCTCATTTCTAAAGTAATATATTAAAAAAATATTTATTTATCTAACTAAACCATGAAATGTACTACATATACTAACAATACTAAACTATCAAGTGATTTTGATGAACTAATTTAACTTTTGTTTATCCAAACATATATGCAAATCATCATGTGATTTTGAGCTAAAAATGACATAAAATCATAATAAAGTCCAACATATAAAGTTACACATGCATCTACATCGCAAAATGAGATAAGCTACTGATAAAACATAACAGGATTAAGTTTGTTACCTCCAAAATCGAAGAGCAACACCAATGGAGGGGGAGAGAACAAGAACAACAGCAAGCTGAAGAACAGAGGCAGTGAGTTTGAATAGAATGGCTCGGGCTTGGGGAGAAAGAAATAAACTAATCTATAGGCCAGGATAATTAGTCTTGGTTAGAGGACCAAACCGGGACTAAAGATTAATCTTTATTCCCGGGGCATCACTCAAACCGGGACTAAAAGCTTTAGTTCCGGCTGGTATTACCAACCGGGACTAAAGGTAACCTTTAGTCCCGGTTGGTAATACCAGCCGGGACTAAAGATCCCTGCCCCGCGGACGACCGTTGGGCAGGAACCTTTAGTCCCGGGGGCAAAAAAAAATGCCGAGGCTAATGCTAAATTGGGACATCGTTCTAAAGTCTGTTCTCTAGTAGTGACAGATCGTAGATCACAATTTTTTTTCTATGAAGAACAAATCATAGACCCGCTGCCGCCGGAGCGAGCTCGCCGGTCGTCGGCGCCGACGCCGGTGGTCACCGGTGAGAAAGAGAGAGGGAGAGAGATGCAAAAAAATCCATGTGTTTTTTTATTAAAAAACACATATGTGTTGTATAGCATTTGTAAAAAAATCTCTCCAAATTTTTGACTCGCACCATCAGTTGACACTCTTTCTCGTGCGAATGTAAGACTCAAGAGAGTACGAGAAAGGGGACATGTGTACATGCAAATTTATTGCCCGGGAAAAGGTGCTCACAAATAAACTTATTGTCCCACTAGAATACATAGTTTGGATTAGGAATTCTAATCAAACAGATCTATTCGATCCTAAACAACTTCAATAGCAATCCTAATCCAAATAGAAAAGGAGTTTCCAATTCCTTCTCTATTTTCTAATCCACGGTGGTTTCCCATTCTTTTTTATTTTCGGTTTTTTTCAATGGCACAGCCTTTTCTGTTTTCTCCAACGCCACATCTCTTATTTTAGATTTTTTTTTTTATTTTTTTTCCAACGGCAAGTTTGTCTTTTCCTGTTTCAGATTCTATTTTGTGTTTAGTTTTTTTTTCAACGACTTCATTTCAGATTTGGTTTTGGTTTTCCGATTTTCTTCCAACGGCAAGTTTTCTTTTTCTATTCTATTTTTCATGTTTCCTTTTGTTTTCATCTTTCTTTCCAGCAACATTATATAATCTAATTTCAATATGTTTTTCCTATTCTATTTTCCATGTTTTTTTTGTTTTTTTTTTCTAGCAACGTTATAAAGTCTGATTCCAAGACGCATCACGGTACAAAGTTCAATCTCAAGACGTATTGAAACAAGTGATTATCATTGAATAAATCTTCAAACCACAAATCGTTCAGCTAACCGCACAACGTCTCCCGTTGCAACGCATGGGCAAGTTTGCTAGCAAAATTTCCGGCTATTTTTTTTGTCCATCCATTTTTTTTTCCGGCTCTCTCTAACTATCAGACAATAGAAAGTTCCTTCCGTCTAGACTATATATATAACTCATGTTTATACGAGTTAGAATAGCTATTGCCAAACACGATATGGCCGATTGCAAAACATATTGGGTCCGGGCTCATCTATACCTAATATTAAAGAGGCAAAATTTCTCTCTACCCATTTTTTTCGTCTGGCCCTCCTCTAACTACCTAGATTATGAAAAGACGACCGATTTCATTACGTATTGGGTCGCGTCCTATGTATTTTTTTATGTGACTCGGACTCAAAATCACATATGCATTCTCCTTGCTTTGCGATTGTTTGAGTGTTTGATTGCTTGAAATGCTTGAATGATTGCTTGCATGTGTGTTTGAATGATTGCTTTTCTGGAATTTATTTTGCGGCACCAAGAATTTTCTTGAATTATTTAAATCCTTCCTTTTGAAGCACTCCATAATAAATATGTTGTTACATGTTCTTAATTATCTAGGAATTATAAGTGTCCTTCCAAAATACTAGGTTAATTTCTATACATATGAAATCATTACTTTTAATTTCTATCATAAAAGAATATAGAATATATTTAGATAATCCATCATAAATATTGCCAATATTTGGTTCCCATCTCAACCATCTAGGAATTAATATAGTCATTAACATAGTATATAATTTCTTAATATTTAGAAGTATGTCATGAGTATAGGAATATTAGTATTACATTCTTTCTTGATTAGAAACTGAAAAATACATCATTTATCTATAATGCATATGGGCATACATGCATTGTTACATGATCTATCTATTATTTACAAAAATAGAAAATGGAAACTCCTACTGTGTACGCCTCCCTCCCCACAAATGGGCCAAGCCCAGCAATAGCCTCGGCCCAGGCCAACTGGCCGAGCAGCACACGCAAGAGCGCCGCTTCGCCACCGCGTGAACCGCGTGCGCCCGCGAACCGCCTCTGTCCGTCGTCGTCTTCCGCGTTCGATCTCATCCGCTCCGTGATATCCGTCGTCCAGCCGAGCAAGAGGATGGGACCGACGCCAGAGATATTTGCCGGCGAACCGCCTTACCCGGCCTATAAAAGGCACCGGTGAGCTCGCCGTGGCCGCCATCGAGGAAGCCGAGCTCGAGCAGGAGACGGGGACGACGAAGCCGGAGCCGCACTCGGCTCTGCCCGCCGAGGTCCCTAGCGCCACCGCTGCCGAAGCCTCCTCTGTCCCGCGCGACCGCCGGAGCTCGATCGAAGCCGCCGCCGCTGCCCACCGTGCTCGTCGTGGATGGGGATGTGTGCACGCTCGCAGATTGATGTCCAGGCGACACGGATGCTGATCGGGCCCGTCCGTGCTCGCCTCGCCGTGTGCTTG